AAAGATGATATAAATACAATAGATGAAGCAAAGGAATACTCCAATTATTATGGAGGAGTCCTTAAACCAGAAGAAAAGGCTATCTTTGATAGCAATCTTTTAAAACCCAATGGTACTTTGGATAAAGCATTATTGCAAAATACAGCTAAATTACTTAATATATTAAAAAAATCTAAGGAAACAGTAAAAACTGAAACCATGGGTTTAACTACTGAGGGTTCTGCTTTATTTAAATCTTTATTAGTAGCCCAAAAGGCTGAATCTATTCCTTAATAATCTAAATGACAATAAACCAGTTGATAAGGTTGTTAGTCAGTTTGAAGATATTTTATTTGCTGAATCTGATCCTGAATTTGATCAAAAAATGGAAGAGGCGGCACTTAAAATTAATGATTTGAAGGAAAAAGGAGAAGCTATTGATGAAGAAATTAAAGAGTTAAAAAAGAAATATAATGATTCACTAGAAAAAAAACAAATTGTTTTAGAAACTAAGATTAATGCAGCAGTTGCTGCTTTAAAAAATGATCTTAGAACTGTTGGTAAAGGTGGTCGCAAGTTTTTTGAAGAAACAATTAAGAGTAATAAAATTGTTTCAGAAGAAAAATATAAATCTGATACCCCTGCTATTCCTGGTGAAACTTATGGTTCAGTGATCAAAACTAAGGTTAATGCTAGTGGCAATGGTAAATCTTATTACAATGGGAATATCCACTGATTAATACGCGTTTCGTCAACTGGAAGTTAGTTATCCGTCACTTATTGCTTTCAGTTGGACTGTCAAAATATGTATCTTGTTCCGATTTAAAGCGTGCTTGAATGCCCCACATAATAATAATTCAGAAAACTATCTCAGAATTTTTTTGAGCAACCACATTTGTGATCTATCTGCATGACTCTAAAAACAATATTTTTTTTTGTCCCTAGAGCTTCACACCTTCAGATTACTCCGAACAGCAAGTATGGCAAAACCACTATTGAAATGAGTTCCAACAAGTAGACAAAGGAAAGGTATTAAACAAGATTGGCAATTTTTTGTCCATTTCTATTTATTTTATTTTTTCATAATTAAATCAATAGACATAATTGAGATCTCCTTAACAATAAACTTGCAAAAAGACAGCAACCCGCCTGCCTTTATTGTTTCTTTTACCTCTTGAAGCATATGGTCAGAATCTGATAATACTTCTTCTTTCCAGATTTTCCCATGGTCTGGGTTTGCTAATCTCCATTCAGAATCAAAGGGAGTCCACCATCTGAAACGTTGACTCAAGTATAGTTATAATAATTTGTAATTGCCATCCAATTTAACAGTTGTTTCTCCTGAAAACAAATCATCAAACTCTTGAGCATACAGACTTTTTAGAGCTATATTTAAGACCTCTATATCTACTGACACAGAATCTCCTTTATTATTATGTTCAAGAATGTATTTGAGTGCGAAAACGTTCTCTGAATATTGCAAGTCGTTGACAATCTCTTTATTTGTGCGTAAACTTTGTTCCATTAACTGCCTTGGTTTACAGTATGGCTCGGTACAGATATCATAGAGGGAGCACTGCCTGCAGCAAAGGTGTCTGATACTAATACATAGCTGGTTGTTGAGCTAGAACTCGTCGAGTCAGCTCCTGCAAAGATAAAAGTAATTGAGCTTTTCGGTTTCTACAAAATAGATAATTAATGAATAAGCAAGTAGAATATTTTCGTATACGCGTTTGCTTTCGTGTGCATTGTGTAAAGTAGTCTCACTAACGCTTGAAGGTATGGTCAATCGTATTTTCACTATTTATTTTTATTGGCTAAAAATTAAACGTGTTGTGCTACTTGCATGGTATGACAGTTATGTCATCTGTGTATGCTGTTACCTACTGTATTACAACGTACGTGAGGTCCATACTTCATGCTACTAGTTTTTATTATTTATTTCAAAACACTATTTGAAACGCGTTATTAACAAGCAGAAACTTAAGAAACATAGTAACGTGTGGATGCGGCTATTAATATTATTATTCGTCAATGAAATTCAAACAATATACAGAGCGACCCAGTTTAAAGCTAATTTTTTGAATCACATAATTTAATTTTCCGTACGCAAGATGTGTCAATATATCCGTTACATTATAATAACTAATAATAAAATTACCACTTACCGATTAATACTGTCGCAATTGCTTAAGGTTTGGCTTTTGGCCTAATAACAAATATACTACCCTAGACCGTAGAAACTATCTACTTGTCCAAGCACCGTATATTTGGTATGACACTATTTTGACAGCAATTACCCTTTATGCTATAATGCTTCGTATGTTTTCTGTCTCAAGCAGTAAACGCTCACGCAAATTGTCTTCTGAGAGCGTTTTAGACAGTTCTCTGAAGATAGCAAGAGCGAACTAAATTTACAATAGTTCTGGCTATGAGCAACTTTCGTAATAGTAAATGTTCCTTGAAACACAATTTTTGCAGAGGTTTTATGTAAGTCTCGACTATTGTTTGTAAATTATTATTTGTCAAGCAATAATACAAGCTTTTTGTTGCAATCTCAAGTGATTGTTTTACTGATTATAATTATAAAACACTGAATAATTGATTCGTGACTAACGTGTAATATGAGTTTTGTATCATATCAAATGGTGCGTGTGGTATCAAGAATGTCTGGGACAAGAAGGATAATCTTGTGTCGCTAGTGCTAATTGTCTATATCATCTCTTTTACATATATTAATTAATATGATTGTTTACAGAATCACAAGAATGTATTTTTATATTGAATTGTTATCACACTTCTATTTTTTATTGTTTTTTTCTGTTTAAGCCATATTAATATATAATCCATTTGAACTTGATTTGTTGCGATCAAGTTGACTACGTCAGACGTGCTCAGTTCTTTAATTAGAGGTTCCTCTTCTATAATCCTTATAATTACTGTGTGGCATAATGTACCAGTTTCTCTAACCTTGCAATTTCAGCGGGTAAGCAGACCATAATAACAAGTGCACCCCATAATCGGGATATCCGACATGTTACACGGCCATCATATTTCCTTTTTAAGGGTAACACACATCCGACATGTAGTACAACTATAGGTGATATTTCGATAAAATTATGGCCGTGTAACATGTCGGATAAATTCCTGATTATGTGCACCCCTATATCGTCAGTAGTTGCACAAATCACCAAATTCAATTGCGGTTAACTTCTCTAGCATTGTGCTTAAAATCGAACCGGGTAGATATCAGGAACAATAACAAGCATCACATGCAGTATTTAATGGACTTCATCTCTTCAAACCATCCTTCCTCGCCTTATCGTCTATCCTCGATCTAACCCAACATTCTTTAGAAAGCTTTGAAATATTGATACTGAATAATATTGAGCTCGATGACAATGAATGTAAGGTGTATTGGCAAATAATAATAGTGAAAACGAGCTGCTGGATATTGAACTTGGGATAATGACAGCGATTATGAACCAGCTATTAATTATGATGTACTAGTACAAAAGCACATGGCAGGTTTCACAAATTAATGTTTGTCTTTTGTAAATAGAATTCTAGATTATATTTTATCAGTGTGTCGCCTGTATCTTGTATTCTCTTACAAAACTTTTACTTCCGCAATAATTATCAATAAATTTGATATTCTGACTCGGGTTTGTCGCTAAAATTTTTGGCGTATACTGCCGAAAATGCTTCCCTATCATCGACCAAAAGTTCTTTTCTCTGTCTTTCTTGTCCTTATACTGCTTATGGTGTCTAGCTACCTCGCAGTACCCTTTTTGTTTAACTATTTCGCATCTTGCGACCAGCACACATGGTCTTGCAGCCTCCGTCAGCACTTTCTACCCGTGTCCTCAATTTACGGTGAGGATGTTGAACCGATCTTGTTATGGACGCGCTGGTTCGGAGATTCCCGGTCATGGTTGGAAGGCAAGACTCTTCGCGGGAGTAATGAGAACCATAAATGCGTGGTTACGTATTATAGAGCCGCCGGCGCTATGGCCAAATTGGTGTTATTTCACAGGCCCGATTTGAATGCGAACGACCTCCCAACCAAGCGGGACGGTCAGATGTGGGTACTGTATAGTAGTGAGGCTTTAACCACATACACAGGAAAGCATGCGAAAAAGCTGGAGGCTTTGTATCCGTACTTTAATTACAGGTAGGCCCAAGGAGAGTCGCGCATGATGTACTTGGGTTGGATGTCGCTTCGGATTCTGTCTTGCATCTCTTGTCGGACTATTGACCATTTCCTGTTTTGCTCATTTTTGACGTAATAGTCTCAACTACCGCCTGGACTCGAATTTTCCATTCATTTACTACGACACCAAGATCATGGAACAGTTATCAAAACCTCCCTCTTCATTTTCACCTGATATCGAGCCGGTAGCATGGATAGGAAGCAACTGTGATGCGCGAAACGGACGACACTTTTACATAAAAGAGCTTATGAAACATATTCCAGTTGCAAGTTATGGCTCGTGTCTGAACAACAAGCCTTCAGTACCGCGTAAGTGGCCGGCTGAGTTCTATTCGCGGCAAAAAAATCAAATCTAAAATGAAAATCTCTGGGATGAGTTTGTCCTTTATTGTCCTTGCTCAAGTCGTTTCGTATCATTTTCAGGAGACCAAACCGTCGATTATATATCTCGTCATCCTTTTTACCTGGCGTTTGAAAATTCAAATTGTGACTACTATGTTACTGAAAAACTCCAGGTTAGTCATCCAATCTCACGGCATTTATTCCGAAATTGTTCAATTTGTTAAAACGATTATTTCGTGATTCTCATCGTTCGACAGAATTGTTTCGAGGCTGGAATTGTTCCTATCGTAGCGGGACCTAAAAATTACACACCATTTATTCCTACGCCTCATTCCGTCATCTTCATCGATGATTTCAGGGACCCAAGAGATCTTGCTAAACACTTGTATTTTCTTCTCGAACGACCTGAAGAATATCAAAAATATATGGACTTTCGATTCAATCCACAATTGATATCAGAAGAGTTTCGAAAGAATTGGGATGGTCCTAACGGATGGAACCGCTATGTCGGGCTCCGTCGGTTGTGTGATACGGCTTGGATGCTCAAAACTGGGAATTTGACTTCCGACAATCCAGAAGAAGATTGGATGATGCCCAGGGTCGTGGAAGCAGATTCTTCATGCGAAGAGACCATTGGCAAGTACGCGTATGTTAAAGAATTGTCAGATTAACGGCGGTGCCACCGAGCGAAAGGCATTGTTCCTCTTTTAGATCTTGACGGGAGAATATTATCTGATATTTTGTGAAGATTTCTAGTTATTTATTCGTAGGTAGAGTTCTGAGTACGAAAACTTGTAGTAATGTAATTTTAGATTAGGACGCTTTAATTCGACCGGGTGTCATATAATAATTTAAGCGATGATTGCAACATTTACATTTTATTTATTTGAACTAGATCAAAATTTATGGGGGCTTCGCCCTTGGTAGACACATAGAGCGAATGTAATTTATAATTATGCAAAAAATGTTCTATACAGTATAATAATAATAATAATAAATATATATAATTTAGTATATAAGAAATATTTATCATACGGGGTAAGTTTAGATTCGTTGATGCTAAACTGGTAACGCCGCCGTTACCGCAGCGCTAGGGACGACAATATAGTGCTTCTTTCGAACTTAATTGTCTTTTCTAATTTTTCTTGCTTAATGGATTTGCGAAATCTTTGGTCGCTTTCTATTTTGGATGCAGAATCAATTTTCGGCGACTTGCTGAGCTTTCAAAAGTGGAAAGGGATTAACTCATTACCAGTACTAGTTATTCAATTTGAGTAAGTTTATGATTATTGAATTATATTAGAAGGCCTAACAAAACTGTACGAAACTCATGCCCATCCAGCTTAAGATAGACAAGGGCAATTTGGCAAATTACAGAATTATTATAAATTTCGATAATGGAGTCGATAAGAATTAAAACCAAGAAAAGTTATAGTTAGTACAATCATATTTATTAAAGCAACGCATTTTTTTGTAGGCTCACTACGGACTAAAGTACCAGTGATACTTTACAAAACCCCGTTATACCACGGGTACTATATACTAAGGGGTACTTTGATCGGATACTATGCTACTGAAAGCTACTAAAAATTTACTTAGTAAAGTCTAACTTTGCCAAATTACCTCCATATAGGAACATATTGAATGTATATTATACTATATTAATATACTCGCAGAAGAAGAACTTAATAGTTATAATTGGGTTATATAAACTCAGTTTTAAATTTGCCGACCGAATTTTCAACAACTGATTTGTAAGAAATATTCAATTTAAAATTGCAACCCAAATATCATTTCTTGGAAAAGTCAAACTGAATTTAAAATTTAATATTAACCAATTTAAAACTGAGTTCAAAACCAAACAATTAATTGGTTCTCATTTCTAGTTTTAAAAATGACATTGAAGTTTTGTACGCGTTTAGATCATCTAACAGCATCAGACAATTATCAAAGTAATATTTGGCAAACATGCAGTTCCAGTTTGTGCACATACACACGTGGTACAGTCATAATATCTCAAAAATTTGATATATAAAGATGTGTTAACTTTCATTCAAAATGAGTGATAGACAATAACATGACATAATGTTCCATCACAATATAAATAATAGTACTTCTCCTCTGTATATACAGTATATATATATATATATGCGGTATGATGGTTAATTACTGTGACAAATTAAAACGAAATCGAATTAAACTGATTTTCTTTTTATTTATATTTAATATCAAAATTTAAAAATTTTTTAGGAGTAATTTTTTGAATTGTGCTAGAATTTGGAGTAATGTTTGATAATAGAAGAGTAAGGTAGACTCAAGAAAGACCCTAAAAGTTGTATTAATCCAATTTGCCACACTAACTAAATCATAGTAATAGAGCTAAACTGTTGTTCATATGTCTTAATCACATCCCTTATAATTATACTAATACTAACACTTATTATTATATTACTATAACAGCTTTTAATGTAATGCTGCTAATCACATGTTCTTATTTGACTGCTGTACCAATGTTTACTGTTTTACCACATTATATTTTCCCTGCCAATTCCATTTTGTAGCAATAATTATAATCAAGTTTATTCTGTGCATCAGCATTTCTTTGTTTTGATACTTTTCTCTACCCCGATTCCATGTTGATAGCAATGGCCAAGATTATTTGCGTAGCAGATTTTCCTTGTTAAATAGCTTTTGCCTTTCTAGCATCTTAATTCCTTGTTGGTAGCAATAGCCAATATTATATTGTGCCTTAGCATTTCCACTACTAATACTGGTTTGCTGTCAATTGGGATACATAGAAGAAAATCCTTGTTATACTTGGCAACAAAGGCACATGATATCCAATCAATATCATTATGCCGCCATCACGCTGCGATTTGTTCAAAAATTATTATAATGTCCGATGTTCTATTATGACGGCATGGGTCTAATTTTAATATAGTGTATCTCGAAAGTAAACCATCGGGCAGTTGGAAAATTTGCTAGAAGGGTGATCAAGGTAATTATGCACTCACTATGCTCAGGAAAAAAGCATCTACTCATTCCTGTTTCGTATTGTTACTTTTGAACAGCACTGTAGATCCCTCGGTCCTCGCTTATTAATTCGTAACTATAAAGGTTTTCATACCCCGATTCGTGCGTGCCCGAAATTCTGGGATCGTCACTCATCTGACGCCACCTAAAGATCCTTCCTCTAAAGATTCTTCGCCCTCTCGCTACTAGTTCCACTTAGACAATGACTGATTCTATTACAAAAATACAAAACTGTCGCCTAATACGCGATGGCCAGATTATTCATGACGACGTATTGTTCATCCAATCGGGGAAAATTGTTAATGCACAAAACCATTTTTATAGAATGGGTAACAAACCATCAAAGATAATTGATGCGCAAGGACTGATTGTAGCATCCGGATACATCGATGTTCAGATTAATGGCGCGTTCGGTGTTGATTTCTCGAACTGGGAAGGAGAAGAGAAAATGAAGGAAAACATTGACATAGTAGCGAGGAAGCTGTTAAAGTTTGGATGCACAAGTTTCGTGCCAACCATCGTTAGTTCGTCGCCCGAAATTTATCATAAGGTGAAGAGGCTAGGCTGAACTTGAGTTCGGGAATGCCGATGATTGTTGACTGATAATTAAAGAGCTATAACATATTGTAGGTATTACCATTGCTTAAGCCACGCAAAGGAAATAAAAAAAATGGATCAGAGATCTTAGGTATATCTTTTTGAAGCTTTTTTTTCTTGTTTGAATTATATGAACAACGTAAGACCCACGATGTTTTCTTGCGTTTTTGTATTACAGGTGCTCATGTCGAAGGACCATTCATCTGTGAAAAAAAGTCTGGAGCTCATCCTAAAGAACACTTGATTGATGCTCCGAAGGGATTTGCAGATATCGCGAGCGTTTACGGTATCACAGAAACAGAAAATCCATCGATCAAGATAATAACTGTTGCTCCTGAACTAGAAGGAATGCAGAATTTGTTCAAGAAATTCATTGACCTGGGTATGACAGTTAGCATGGGTAAGTGAAATATCTCTTGATCGCTCGTAAAGAGAATCACCATTTATTAAACCATTATGGGATAGGGCATTCGTGCGCGCTAGTCGAACAGGCCGAGCGAGCAGTAGAGAGCGGGGTATATATTTGATGCCTTTTATCTTTTGTTTTATGCGTGATACATATTATACGTTCGCACACATATTTACTTTCGCGTACAGGCCCGGTTTATCACACATCTATTCAACGCAATGCAACAGGTGAAATGATGCTTCCATACACGTATCACATCTCCCATCTTTTTTTACTTTCTAATATTCTTTTTTATTTTTCAAAATTTGCACCAAGTTTCATCACCGAGATCCCGGAATAATTGGCCTTCTCAGTTCCACCCGCTTGCCTCGCCCCTATTACGGTTTAATATGTGATGGTATTCACGTCCACCCGAACTCTGTGAAATTAGCTTACTCTGCCCATCCGTCTGGTGTGATCCTCGTTACAGACGCAGTCGGTGCCATGGGACTTCCGCCCGGTGAATATAAGATAGGAACTGCGAAAATAAGGAAAATCGACGACTACCGTGTGGAGGTAATCGAGAACGGTCGTTTGGCAGGATCCGTTCTTACTATCAGTGAATGTGTCAAGAATTTCAAAAAGTTTACTGACTGTTCGATTGTGGAAGCTATTGAAGCTGCTACTAAGCACCCAGCAGAACTGTTGGGAATCGAAGACAGAAAAGGAACTCTGAATTATGGTGCCGACGCTGATTTAATATTCTTGGATGATGACTTGAACGTCATTAGATGTTTTATAAGTGGGGAGGAAGTTGATATTGGAAGCATGTAAGAACAACAGATATCAGCAGTGGAACAATTTATTATCTGGTTAGAACAATGTATTGTTTACACAATTTCTAGCACGGTTTTTGCAATCGTTATATCCTGGAGAAGTATAAGTATAATCTAATACATAATAGGGTTTTCTAAAATAAAACAATATACTGCGTCCTTTTTGGATTAATTAAAAACACTATTGTGTTCACCAATTTCTGAACTCCATTGGACGTTCAGGTCCGGAGACGGATTTGGCCAATTGTCGTCTTGAACAAATTGCGCTCGCGCATTAGTTTCCGTGTAATTGAATATGACTTGTCAGTTCTCGTTTTCCTTGTACTTTATATCACACTTGATACCATGCGATTACGATGAACATTTGGTTCATAATGGCTTACTATTACTCAATTCTCCAACAAATGCGTGTTTCTGTACTTTAAACTGCAATTGTTTTGTACTAAATAATTTATCAGTTATGCCCGACAGCTTCAATGAGATTTACATTGTTTATCTGTTATATCTTCATTTACTTTTACTGAAACGACTAATATGTCCATAGTCATGTTTCCCGCTTAACAAATTGAGCAGACCATATAAAAACTCGGTGACAATACATAACATCGCATACATTTTAATTTTTTTGACATCAGTAACAAACAATGCGCGCAAACACGTGATTCGTATTCAAATACCACTTGGCGTTGGAACGTCGAAGATGTGGAAGGAAGACTTGTCGTACAAAGATCTAAGCGTTTTTAACATGACCCTACGATTCTCGGGACAATTGTTACATCGGCTACGGCGATTAAGAGCGAGCTTGGAGAACGAAGGGCTAAAAGTCTTGGCATGTTGATCGACAGGTTGAATAAACAAAATAAACAAAGTAACTTCTATAAGATAGTTTCAGGATTCGTTTCTATGATTTGCCTATCTATTATATTTGCCAATTGTACTTGTGATCTATACCTGACGGTTCTTCTCAGCATCGCTTCACGCTTACCGAGTCATAATCGTGCTAGACTTTGCGCAATAGTAGATGTTACCGAGATCAAAAGAGAAGGTCTCAAAAAAAGGGTTTGCTCAGAAATTGATCCAGCTTGAAGCATGCACTACCAGGTATGTGTAATAAGTTATGTGTGAACTCTTTTCTGGGGGCCCATGCTAACTTCTAGGATCTTTACAGATGCTGGGGAGTAGTATTTCCTCCATTGCAGAGTCGCAGAGATTGGAGTCATACTCAATGACATGCGTAGATATTAATCATATCATTAGGTTGCTAGCTCGCGAGATTCATAATTAATTCATTACAGTGAACGTGATTGACCATGACCGACTTGATTCCAATAAAGCACATTCAGTATTAAGATAATATGAAACTGAACTGTATGCGTATATGATGTTACCTCTACCGAGTGTTATTACTCATCTCCCATAGAGCCCATATCGAAATACTATTCAAATCATCTAGTACTCGCGATATTCCTGGTTTATTTTGCTTTCGTCAGCTGATGGTTATTTAGCTTTTTCACATTGTACTATAAACCTTGAGCTTTCAATATCACCGAGATCCTTCATATAGGCGTAGCAGTCGCTTGCTCATTGTTTTTAGCACTTGATGCAGCCTGAGTTTTTGGTCGAGTTCAATAGAAATATCATTTCTTTCCACAGTTACACATCTAGTGATATTGATATGCGGGCGTTTAATGAGAGCTGTATAGAGATTATAATCCTCATGCGGCTTGCATGTTCTGAGGATAACAGTATTTTAGCAGTCACATTTGATTCAAAAGTTACGCTACGGAGTAATCAGTTATTTGATGTACTTGATGTCTGCCTACGTCCGTTACACTGACGCATATTTGTCTTTAATGTCTTTCCATTGTCTCTGTTGTATGATAAGAAAGATATAATTTTAGAAAAATGCTTATTCCCAGTAAAACCTGAATTAATCGTTGACTTACCCCTCGGTTCACCCGATCGAATATTCTATCGGACGTAACGTCGAAAGCTATTTCAAAGGCAAACGCTGCCGCAAATACACCGCACAAAAATATCGAATTTCGTCTAAAAACACCCCTGTATAGGGCTCGAGCGAGCCTGAAAGAGAAAGGGTATTACATTATATTAAAAGTTGCAAAACGGAATAGACCAATTATTGAACAAAACAATTGAGAAAAACGTACGCATTGGAGCCAGAGTTATTCGCCATAATGAAGACTTGTCAGATGAGATTATAAAATTGCTGTCACATTTTTTTTAATGCACTTATGTTGGAATGCATCCAACCAATAAAAATGCCAAAATCTTCGTGTGACAACAAAAGAATGTTTCCGTAACAATTTAGCAAGATGCCCGTTTTTTACCTTCGCTATTCGGTCCTTTGAGACTTTTCTCGTCTCGAATATTATATAGATCTACTCACAACCGTCGCTTCATACAACGTTCACCACCTTGTTTGATCGTGTAATATAAATAACGAATAAACACGAAAAGAATGACGGAATCTGCCACTAATACCAACACACAGGCAAAAGGCAGTAAAGCAAAGGTTGTGGTAGATCGTGAGAAGGTACGTCAGACCAGAAGTGAAACTGCAATAATGAATAACATGACGCGATTCCTAGCTTATATGGGCTTCGTTATGGCATTGTAGACATGTCCTTTTCTATTACGAATGTTTTGTAAAGAAGCCGGACATCACAGGTTGGTTAAAATTGCGGCGCGTCCAATGTAGCAATATTATAGGCTTGACTCATGTTCAATTATTTGATCTAGTATAACAGACTATTCAACGGAACGTCAGCCGACAGAGGACGAAGTTCAAATATATACATGGTATTAACCTTGATTCATTCTCGCATCTCAAGTTACCCAGTCATCTATCCCCTTATGATTAATTTCCTTCATCTCTTCTAAACTTTGATCTCTAACCGTAATATAGGAAGGACGCAACACTAAAGGAATTAGCCAACCTACTAAAAGAAATAAACCCCGAAGCACAACGAATGGCTGCTCGTTTATCTTTTAAACTCGTCTATCAAGACAATGTACGCGGACGTTACGTATTCAAAGATCTCGGGATGGTGATGAACAATCGATCAACCACCGAGGAAGATACAACTCTCGATGATGCGAGATTTGTAATTGGAGATTTCCTTGACGTTGCTTTATTCCATGGACCTCAGTTTACGAGAAACGCAAACGAGAGGAGGGGAAACGTGTTAAGGGAGAGAAGAGATAGGGATAGAGATAGAGATAGAGACAGAGATCGGGATAGGGAGAGAGATCGGGAGAGAGATAGAGATAGAGATAGAGATCGGGATAGGGAGAGAGATAGGGATAGGGGTCCTGGCGTAGGAGTATTTAGAAGGGAAAGAAATAATGGAGACAGGGACAGAGACAGAGACAGAGACAGGGATCGAGACAGAGATCGAGACAGAGACAGAGACAGAGACAGAGACAGAGATAGGGACAGGGATCGAGATAGAGATAGGCGCGTTTTTAGAGAGAGAAGGAGATAACATTCATGTTGAAAGCTTTTGATTCATAAAAAAAATACTAGATAAAAAGAAACTGGTTTATTTTATCAATCGATTGTGGGAATCCGTCTGCCTTTATAGAAAGGACTAGCTAATGAGGATGGGTCTCATCTTTTTTAACTCGTGGTGATTCACCTTTCCGAAGTCCTTGTATATCCCACATTCCCTGCAAAAATGTCATTAAAGATCATTGTATATCAATATCTTACATTCTGCTCTCGCACTCTGTTGGTACTCACCTGGTATTTTACGCCCCAATAATACCACACAGTTGGAATTATTCCCAAAGTGAGGATACCCAATGCGACGTATTTGGGCGTCAGGCGAAAGTGTTCAATAGTGCGTCCTCGCATGGTCGCCCATCTTTCAATACCTGGGTCGACCCTCAAGTCTGTTCCCGTCGGAGACAAAAGAGATTTTTGCGATGAGACAAATGCTCTGAACTGATAGGAAACGGGTGGTGAGTTTAACAACAACAAAGAAAGAGGATTGGGCTTACTTTCATGTCCTCCCATCGTTACGTTTTCTTGTCGAGTATGTTTACTGAAAGATGTTAAAAAGGGTTTCTTCATCTTCACGTGACTGAAAATACAATACTGTAGCACAAGGCGTTTGTAGATTATGGTTCACATTCAAGGTTCACATGATGACGATTAAGCGCGTAATTGGCTTATGGCAATTGGTATGTAATCAACTGCAGAAATCGACTGATGGCATTTTTGTATCGGGGTGAGAATATCGATGGTGATTGGTAAGCATTGTCGCTAACGAAGATGGGACAAAACCAAAGTGAAATTGTGTTGTCACTCGGGTTTATTAAAAAAATCAAAAAGGAATACTCAAAAGAGATGCTAGGCATTTTTAAAACGAGATTCGGGAACTTATTATCGAAAATAAAATAAAAACAGAAATTAAGCAAAACAAGTATCCTTTTTTTGATTAATTCCTATACTCGGAATCTCCCTACCTAGTACCGGACTGATTCTTGTGCATTGTTTGTCTGTTTTTGCCAGTATATGCATACATACCGGAATCTCATTATGCTGCACACGAAGCTGTGTCAAACCGTCCGGTTATAACAGATCTTACTTTACTTTAGTTGAATACCTTAGCAGTGTTGGTATTTTAGCAAACCGTGACTTGCTCGTCCGAATGGCTTTTGTCAAGTATGCAATACAATCTATGTTTGTAGAAGAACGCTATCCTAAACTGTCAAATTTTTACCTCTATATGATAGTATCAGAAATAGTCTATTTGAACTCATACTTGCCTTTCGGTAGTAAACGATTGAAGTAAATTTAGAAATTGCAATTTAGTTCATATTAAATTCTCTGCTTGTCGCAACACGTTATAAAAATATTGCTAACAAAAATTAACGATTTTTATTTCTGCGACTTGTATTAGGGATAGCAGGTCCCATCTTTACCACATAATGAGTTACGATAGTAATAGAATGATATAATATTATTTTGCTAAAATTCGATTTGATCAATATTCTCTCGCGCTTTTTTATAGCACTCTTTAAACTCAACAGATATGGATTCTTTCAAAAAATTAAAGAGTTAATCAATTCATTATTACAGTTAAAATAAGTATTAAGCTGTGATTTCTTATTTAAACTTTACATCTGTTATTGTATAACCAAAAAAAGCTAGCCGAATCCATTTATGGTTGAACTATCCGGACTCCGTGTCACGTATAAATACAAGAATCAAATCTTAAACCATGAATACAGTATGGAGGAGACAACAAAGTCGCGAGATAGCGGAACATTTCAGCGGCCCGAATTTCCCAAAACCTTAGAGGGATTTGGATATCATTTCACGGAAAAGGGGGAACTCAGGAATATTGAGACAGGTAAGACTATCCGGTAGCATGATATAATAAGATAATATAGAAAACGCAAAAGCAGCAATCGAAAGATAGAGTTCGTTTAGGACAATGGTGATGATTTTCGTGGAAGCGCATGTCGTGCCAATGACGACGTTATGATGCTTAATAAATGCAGTTGTGCTTTCTTCCCAGATGATCGTTTTGTCTTTGTAATACGAGAAGGTGATCGAGCATACAATCAAGCCCACTACGAAGCCTTGGGCGGTAAATACACTTGTTTTTCTTCTGCTTGCCTGCTTTGCTTAATTCTACACCAAATGCTTAACCGCTTACTCTGTTCTGATCCATATAGACGTAGTCGCGCAATATATCGAAGATCGTTTAGTGACAAAGTATGGCTTTATTCGTCAGCCTGTGCCAATTGAAGCAGCGGATGATCCCACGATACCTCACAGTTGGATATACTTGAGGTTAGTATAGATCTGTGTTCTTATGGATCGAAAGAACAAGAAGGAATTCTAGGAATAACGTCAGACGAAGGCGAAAGTATAATAGTCATAATAATGATTAACATGTTATATTTGGCAGCCCCAATTCGAACAAGTGTGAAAAGCTAATGCTGCTGATTCAAGGAAGCGGTGCTGTCCGACCTGGTCAATGGGCTCGACAAGGTAATAACAAGTGAACGTTACAAAATGCCGAGAACGGAGAAGCATATCTGCATAGGTATTAATAAAGGGCATATCTTGTTTCACAGTGATAATCAACGATTCTCTTCAGGTATATGATTAACAAGAATTTGTTCCAACCGATTGCGATGCTGGCCGTCTGCGAAATGAAAAGATCTTTTATATTTTTATTTGTCGAATAATTAACCCTTTCCTAATTTCTTGTATTTGCTCAGATGGGTTCAATGTTTCCGTATATAGAAAAAGCTCAAGAACAGGGTTTTGGCATCATAATCCCTAATCCTAACGTGAATTATGCGCCCGTAAAGGTAAGGCGCTTTATCGTAATACAATGCTCACTTGACAATTTGTCATAGGGAACGCATTTGCTTACATGTGTGTTCATCGTTGTAGTCTTTTGAACGTCAGCGCATAGAAGGTTCCGGAACTCCACCTGGACATTGTCTTTACGTTTGGAAGCATTTCGTCGGGTCAGTAGGATAGCAAATGAGGAATTGGAAAGAGCATAAGATAAATTTAAAACGATCTGTTGTTGAAGCATTGGTACCCGGTTTGGTCAACTAAAATACGCGTCGCGAATGTGCATTACTAATCGTTGCTTTATTCGCTTTCTTTGCAGACCAGCAAAAGCAGAGAAAATCGTGATAGTAGCACATAGTTATGGTGGAATCTGTACGGCACACCTGATCATGGAACTTGGTGAGTCTAAAATTGCAAAAAGAATAAAGCATTTCGCGTATATATTAAACTTATTAACTTTTTTTTAATTAGGCGATGAATTTTGTAGTCGTGTCAAGGCTATCGCTCTCACGGACAGTGTTCATAGCAAGTCCTTGATACATGAAGCTAGGCGGTCATGGTTTTCCGATGTCGCCATTAACTGGATTACTTCATCTATGCCGTTGGATACACCTATCCCTGATGCAAGAGAGTACAATGCCTGTCCTTGTTTTTCAGCTGGTAAATCATCAAGTTTGGCAGACTTAGTTTAAATCGTGTTTATAACTCCACTAAATTCTCACAGGTCACAAGAAGCACGAATATACTTCAGGCACCGCATTCCCAGCCGTCTTCAAGTTTATTAATTACGCGTTGACGAAACCTGCAGCAAAACCATCTGATTACCCTCTGAAAGAGACTACAATTCTTGATGCAATCGTAAGTGCATTTTTTTGTAAATTGTTCTTAAAATTTCGTTAGCTAACTGTTCACCCCTACGTAAATACAGAGCACGAATATCTCCCAAGCGATCATAATGGTGAAGTCAATATTTTCTTTAGACTGGTTTCAGGACACTAGCCAAACTCAAACGAGTAACCAGCCGCCTCCTGGCGAACCAGCAGTGAAACCACAGCAAGACAGAAAAGACGATAAGTTATGAGCGCAAACTTTAAACCTTTCTAAAGTTATAAATTACAGTATTGTCTCATCCAGAGGGATATTAGATTGATTGCGTGATCAGTATTAGTATATATTTCGTATATATTTAGTAAATAAATATATATATATATTTACAGATATATATTGGAAAACTCATTTAACCATGGAAATTATAATGTATTTGTGAATGCCCCGACTTTATAGTAAACTCGTTGTGTTATAGTTAATGTAAATGCAGCATCAATTATCATTGGTCACATACTAATATTAATACGGTGAAAGAAGTTATATATATTAAGCCACCATCAGTGTAAGTATTAGTATTAGTATAGATTACATCGTGCAACTCACCTTCTCATTGAACGAAGAGAAAATCAAAGAAACGAGAGATATTGAGGAGGGCAGAGGCTGGTGAATACGTTCAAGGAAGAGGGAGACACAGACAGAAATTCAACAAGCTATCTAAAAATAGGTTCTGATATTTGAATGAGATCAGGTCAATTTACTTATTAAATTAGTAGATGTGGGGCTTTAAAAAATACACAAACTGGGAAATATACCACTTTCTAATAATATAATGATTTTAAAAACAACGAGTTTTCACATTTACAACACAAAGAAACCCTGGCAGGCCATTGCATGACCAAGATGGCAACCCTGAAACAGGGTAAGGTAATTTAGTTAATGGGGAACTGTAAAAAGCATAGTCAATGAGAGGTTTTGTTAAATTAAAAAAGTTATGTCTTATTATTATCTAAATTTTGTAATAAAATAATAATACATAATAGCAAATAACAATACGAGTTATGTTAAAAGTTAATCATTTACATTATTATTTTGCCTATTAATAATGCATTCCTCAATCTCTTGTGTCAGGCATTGATCACTGGAATAAGAGAAAGACATTCCAACTTTAATTATGTAATTTAGAAGTTATACTACATTATAGTGCAGCCAATTCTCTCTATAATGACCATTCAGCCAGAGCAAAATGGTCGTTCTAAGCCATAAAACGCCACATAGTAGTCATATAGAACCATAGTATGCACTTCCTTCTTTCTTTGACATGGTAGCGAATGTACAACGATAGAGAACACATAATAGAGAATGTAAATAGAAAACAGAAAGATAGATTAAACGATCATGATAACAGATATTTGAATGCTCGATTCTAGTGTGGAAAAATTAAGTATAGAGATTAACATCGAGTATACTATAAAAAAATATCTACAATATGAGTATCCCGAACTCCTGTTATGGCAGCATTGTAATTCAAAGCACGGGTATTTTGAGCGGGAATATTTTTTTCACTATCCTACCTAATATCCTTCTGGCAAGATTGGTCAATAACTATTTTATGCATTGAAGAACAAACTACAAAATAATAAATATATATATGATTACCCGTATGTGAAAAGTAGCGAACATAGTGGTTTAACTAAATATGACAAGCAATACGTTTCCTGAAGCCAGGTTACAATTATAGTGTTCAAAAGAATTTCAAGAAAAAGGCTACTGAATACGTGAGACGTTTTAAGCTTTCTCTAAACAAACAAGATACATTTAATGGTGGAAAAATAACTGCCAACATATTAAAAGAAAACGCGTACTAATAAGCGAACGGTTTACTATTAAAATCTTCATACGTCGCTTGTCAGCAAACGTATTTAATAGGTGAGAAATTGGCCGCATTTATTTCGTCTGGCAACGATGGCATAATACCGCATGTTTATGATAACACACAAATGTTGGAATGAAAAACCAAATAACAGATCGATACAGCTGTTGCTACATCTGTGAAAAAAATTTCTCAGATTTTACGCAAAAATTATAAATTATCAAGTCTCGGACATACTAAATTTCAAGTGTGACTGTAGTTTTGGCAAACGACTGTGCGGATTATATTGTGAGAAATCGAGTACAGTTGGATTAGTAAGGCTTAACTTAGACTTGGATCTGAATTCCGTGTTGAGGGGGGGTTTTTTAATAAATTAAACGGTTTACAAAGATGTCAGCCCGTGGCAGGCTATTTATTAGACTAATATCTCTAAATAAGGAAAGAATATTGTGAAACTATAACCAACCCGCAATTATGTAACTATAACAACGCTTTTTGAGACAAAGTTTATTTCGACGAGCGTAATTCAAGTAATTAGGAAGAGGAGATCAAAAATCAGTTTACAAATTAAAAGAATTCGAATAAAAGGGCACTTTTTTCAAGTACATAGTTTGAAAGTCTGCAATCGATTAGAAACCACCAGCATACGAGCGGAATCACATCTGCAATTTCAAGATAGCGATTTGTTAGAAACGATAAACGGCGAACGTAAGCCTGTTCGGGATAGTGAGAGGATACAGAAATATGATGAACGTATGGAAAAGAGAAATTATTGCATGTTTCTGGTTTAGGGCGGGGATAAAGGTGAATTCGCGCTCTCTTATCAGTTGCACAAGCCAAAGTTTAAGAGTAGGACGTTGTGGCGTAAAAGTTGAACGTCTCACAGTAGATCACGCGAACCCCCACATAACGGGTCCCCCACGGTTACCCCGCTTACTTAGTTTGCTTTCTCACGACCGCAGTCTATCTTTACTTAGTTTCCGCCTTTTCTCTTTTATCTTGATTTTCTTCCGAAAACGATTATACTATGAATCTATCCAAACCTTCTTCTTCCTCTTCAGCATCAGATGCACCCGGTCTTTTGTATGCTGGATTTAATCAAAATTTTGGTTGTTTCGCGGTTGGTCTGGAACACGGATTTAGGATCTACAACTGTGATCCAACTAAAGAGAAGCTGCGGAAGGGTAAGATTGCAAGTAAAGAGGCTTTTGAAACCCGAGCGTACTTTTGTGCATAGTGCTGGTGTTTTGTTAATATAACTAAAGTTATGAGTCTTTTGTAGAGGAAGGCGGTGGTATTGCGATAGTAGAAATGCTCTTCCGGTGCAATTACCTGGCATTGGTTGGCGGAGGGAAAAATCCAAAATACGCTCCGAATAAAGTTATCATATGGGACGATTACAAAGAAAAACCTATAGTGGAAATGGAATTCAGAAACGAAGTGAAAAACGTAAAGTTGAAAAAGGACAGGTTGTATCAATACACCAGAGTAGGAGGATACAAACTTATAAGAGTTTGTTCTGTTTAGTACGTATGTTATAATAGGAGGATTTTACTATATACGCTTACTTATCTAACCTCACATTGATTGTTCCAGAATCGTCGTGGTTCTCCAAAACAAAGTCTTTGTCTATCGCTTTGATGCAATGCCCGAGAAACTGCACACATTCGAAACAATAGACAATGATAAAGGCCTTGTGGCTCTATCCTCGTCGCATTCTCATGCAATTCTCGCCACTCCCGGGCGACAGAAAGGACACATTCAAATCATTGATCTAAACACAACCCATCCTATTACCGTCAGTGGCAATACAAACGGTACTACGTCAACGAGTATAGGTCAACATAGGCGTTCATTTAGTGATCATAGGTCAGAAGAAACAACGAAAGTAAGAGGGCAAAGAACAGGGAGTACAACTTTTATGTCAACAAGCATCAGTTTTATCCCAGCACATACGAATAAATTAAGTTGCCTGGCTCTAAATGAGGATGGAAGTAAATGTGCTAGCGCTAGCGAGAAGGTATGTGAACGAAAGGGGTGTATAAAGGATACAAGCGCAAATGAGGTTAATTTAGGGGTGATGGGAAATACAAAAAGAATATTAAACAGATTATTGATGAATTAGGGCACTCTTATCCGCGTGTTTGATACAGCATCGGGGAAGTTGTTGAACGAGTTGCGTCGTGGATTAGAACGTGCAGAAATTTTCAGGTAAAGTCAAAAAGAATAAGAGTAAACTGTACATAATATCGGTTATAGCATGCCAAATGTCAATGATATTAAACTTGTCGCCTTTTAGTATCGCGTTTAGTCAAGACTCGAAGCGTCTATGCGTCTCTTCAGACAAGGGTACTGTACACGTGTTCAATCTGTATGCCGATATGGAGAAAGGACCCGGTCCCGTTGACAATGGCAAGGCTTACTATGGAGAAGTGGTCGTAAAGTGAGTTGCGTTATGAAAGACATATTTAATGGGCTCGTTCGTTTATGCAAGAACTGACTTGCGGAATATATTGATACTAGTAATCCAGCTATGCCTCAGTCGAGTGGAAATCGGCAGTCGAGGTGAGTCTTTTCATATTGACTTATTTGACAAATCTAGGCACACACGGAATTTTTTTCGAGTCATGGACATGCATTAATGATATTTTTGGTTATAACTATGTCAGTCTTTCATTTATGAAAGACCTACTTCCCAAATACTTCTCGTCCGAGTGGTCATTTGCTCACTTCAAGACTGATTGTCGATGCATTTGTGGTTTTGGTCAGGAAGGCCATAGCATCCTTGGTATGTATCAGTCTGTCCGAGACGATTATGTTTTTGTGAAAATGTAGTTCAAGCTAAAGAACGATTAATTGTTTTGAACAGCTATCTGTGCAAATGGCATCTGCTACAAATACCTCTTTGATGAAAGAAGAGGAGGTGAATGTACTCGGGTGGAAGCTGAGGATTTTCTCAAGGATCAAGAAGACTAACGTCGTGAGGCAGGATGCTTGAATTTGTTTAATTTACTTTATTCGCTATTAATTTCATTAATGATGCATCAACACGTTTATTTATCTAAACTTGACGCAGACTTTCTCTTAGCTATTAAATAGATAATATATTTTTTTTGTAAATTACTTGCATTGTTTGAATATGATCTAGATATTGATTGGAGTATGCATTGCGGCTTGGATGCATTTGTACATTTACTTTGGAGACATGTATCTGCAATACGCATGGCCATTCTCCACGATACAACAATAAATAATATATTAATAAATACGTTTTCAGCAAGTCTCTTGGCATCTTAAACATTAGAGTGAATGACTTTAACCAATGCAATTCCTAATGACCTGTATTAACAAACTTATATCATGGCTGTTTAAATTTTATTGACATCTTAATCTTGGTGCCTTACATTTTTGCATACCAGCCTTTGACTATGTCCAATTAACACTGACATGGCTGTCTAGTTTCAATAACCTTTCATGTTTTTGAATCGCCAGAACGCCAAGGTATGTTGAAAAAAAATTTTTTTTTGATTATTATTATCAACTAAAAGCAAGTGTGCATTCGTCAATATTAAATTAAATGCAAGCACGGAGAAAGAAACAGTGACGTGAAAATATACACTTGGTAAATGCACGACCATCATTAATGCCAAACAACAAAATTTACATGCTTTGTCGTCTTCTATTCTATGTGAATTAACCCATTTTTATTACTAATTCCATCCTTCGAATAAAGCCAACAATTTCTCATGATCGTTTCGACTCTTTTGCCTTCTCTTTTCTCTTGATGGTTCATGATCCATCTGATTTGCCATATGCGCCTCTGCTCCAATAGTTTCATCGTCTGCAACATAAACGTCTTCTTTGCGAGGTTCGTCGACATCAACGCCCCAGAGAACACGTTCCTGTCTTTGATCTGACATCCTACTACGTCGAGAAAGGCCTTTGATTTCGTGTTTCGTCTCCGCTTGGGTAAAGCTTAACAGATCAGATGTTGCTTTGTATCCTAGACTTTCCATTTCTTGAATAGCAATGCTTGCGCGTGGATCATTATTATATGCACACTTGCGAATAATATGACGGTATACATTTGCTGGTGGCACTATATTTTTTTTCTTCATTTCTTCAAGATAAACAAAAGCTTTTTCATAATTTATTTGCATACACATTATTTCTATCATTCTGCTATAAGTAACAACATTGAATTCGACCCCTTTTGCCTGAAAATCATTTAAATATGACTCCGCCATATAGAGATTTCCTGTACGCGTCAATACATGGAGTAGTGCATTAAGGGTGTTTGTATCTGGCGTGAGGTCCAATTCACTTGCCGTGCGATAAATTATGTCGGCAAAGTCAACATCAGCCATAGTACCGGCCATGAATTTCCCCTTCTTCGGGCCATCCCTTTTTGTGAGGACTTTGCAAGCACGAATAAGCGCGTTTATTGCTTCGATATCGACAAAATGTTTCTGGTCGTGCAAGTCCCTTAACAATAGAAGTGCTTCTTGGACACGCACATGTGAATATTGAGCGAAATCCGTTATGCCTTCGGAGGTGTATTCGTTGGGTGCTATTCCACGATTCCGCATAATGCCGAGCGCAAGAACAGCTTCGCGTATTTTGCCATTACGAGCAAAGGCAGCTATGAGAGATGCATAATGATGTTCATCAAGAGGGGCTTCTTTATCAATGAGATACTTTGCAACTGATGTAGCCAGGCTTGTGTTTCCAGTGCGACCAGCAAGTTGAAGAATGTAAGCGCATAGACCGTCATCGACGTCTCCCTTAAACTCGATCGCCTTCTTCCAGCAATGCTCAACTAATAAAGGCTACACAAAAGAGTTTGCATAAAATAAGAATCTGATCCACATGAATAAACTACAGGTATTCCCCACTTACTTTTTTTTCTAAAGTACTCAAACGCAACACGTCGATGTAGAGAGCAGAAGACAATGGATGATGCACTTTTTCCATTTTTTGTAAAAGTTCGCCAGCAAACACCGCTTCGTTAAAAGCCGTGGCAGACTGAAGTATAGTTGCGTATGTGAGCATTGTTGGCGTAATTTCATTTTTTTCCATCATCTCTAACACATCAGCAGCGTGTTCGAGTTCTCCATGAGCTACTAATGCCGAGACGTAATGCTCAAAGGTGGTTGCCGTGGGTTCAAAGCCGTCATTTTTTAAATCTTCCATTATATTTTCGCGTAATTTGGGGTACTTTGGACGGGACTTGGCGACGGTCTGATCATCAGATGGAAACAATACGATCAGCACTTGTAAAGAGCAATATTGATTGAAAACAGAGACAACTTACCCGTAGAAGAGTGTGATATGTCTCCAAACTGGGTCTTAGTCCACTACGGCGCATATCTTCGAACAGCTCTAACGATTCTGTAATCCATCCGTATCGCTCATTCATGCTAAGCAATAGGCTATAGGTCTCTTCATTCGGTCTTACATTCTCAATTATAAAGTTCCTGCAATGCGCGTTCACGTCAACTGGCTTAGAATAGTTAACCAGTCTTTTCAATTCAGCATTTAATTCGTCTAGTCTAGACAGATCCTTGTCAGCGACGCTTGGAGCATTTGATAAACCGAAAACAGGCGCATCTGCCTGCGTTGCAGTTGTGTGTGATGTTTCTTGTCGTAAACAGGAAGTGACTGAAAATTATGTCAACCTTTTAGTCTGAAGCCCTTACAATGAATACATGGTTTTCTTATTGGAAGCGAAAAAGAAACGGAAGTGGTCCTGCAATTAACTTGCCGTGAAGTAGTCTCCGTGAACAGAAATGACCCTGCAGTCTAGATACAGGTGAAGGGTGCAATGTTCCCGATTCGAAAAGGGTCAGCACAGAGAGTATTGGTCGTCCGAGACGAAACATTGTTTCATGATTTAAAGGAATAAAAAGTCTTCAATGTTCGTCAGGTAAGAAACACTACTTCACGTGATTTTTCAAAAAATTTTTTTAAACGCGTGCGTAGTCAAAAAAGTAAAAGATTTACCGCGAGTATTGATGACGAAGTAACTTGAACCGCCACAAAATGTCCGAAGAACGAGGGCTTAGTATTAGCGAGTGTGAACATGCCTTATTGTTAGAAGATAATTCTTTGGTTATAAGACCAGTCATCAAAGTCGACACAGAGAAATATTGTGAAAGTAACACAGCGTCTTTTATGTAAGACGACCTTTTGAAAACGTTGTTTGCTTGAATCGATAGTCTCTACAGTCGAAAAATAAATAACGATAAATGAAATACTTTATTTTCGATAAGTTTAGTGGGTTTAAATTTAGGAAAATTAAAATCAATTAGACACTCTGAAATAAGTAAATCTTAATCAGTTATTACAGAAGTAGTCATCTGATCAGGCTATGGTTTTTGATAAGTGGGCAGTATTTCTTGGTGTTGATGCGTATGATAAGAACATTTTTGTGGTTGTTAATACAAATAGTAGTCAGTACAAATTTGGTAACGACTCATCCCGTCGGTTCCTAGTAAAGAGGGTGTACCGTAAAAGTATTCCGATCGGTACCAATACTGTAGATTTCATCAAACATTTAACCGAATGCATTACACGTTGATATTGGTGTAAAGAGACAACCCTATGTTTACCGTAATGAGATAATTTATAGTATGAAAAGTAACTGTATGCAGGTAAATGTTATGACCCCCGTAAAACGTGCAACTACTGTACAAATTACCTCACTGTATATTATCGGAATAGAGCTTTGTGGGATAAACTTGAGCGTCGCGTTAGAAAAACTACCACCAAAAATGAGACAGAACTAACCGATTACTTTAGAGTGGACGAAAATATAATATCGATATAAAAAGTAGAGTATTAAGCTAAAAAATACGTAGCTAGAAGAATCTAGACTAGATGGTGAATTTCTTATAATGAAAGCCCTTGAAACCAAACATAGTTTGCATCGATTGTTATACAATATAAAGTTTTATTTATAGGAAAATTATCTCTAAAAGTCTATGCTACCACCATTAACAGCGGTTTTAAATATTGTCCTTTTCAAAGATTAATTTTTTGTTGCTGCACTCTAATTGTTAGTTAAACGACTGACAAACTTTATATTAAACAATTGCTAATGCGTTTCCATAATGTTCAGTAATTGGATTTTTCGTATCGCATGTTGTAACCGACAGTATAGAAATTGCATTTAATAATATATTATCTGTAATTTTTTGAGCGTTAATTTATACAGTAGTTATCAATAAAAAGGCATTTAAAGCTGAAAAAGACAAACTTGGATGTATTAACTGTGTTTTTTGCAAGTGTTTTATTCAAAATGTGTTCAGCGTAATAAAACAAAAACATGCTAAAATTATTTATCCAAAGGAAAGTGGCCGTGCGGCGTAGCAGCACAGCCGCTATAAAAGAAAAGAAAAATTGCCGGTGTACTTTTGTTTCCGCTCCAATTTACCACGGTCCGTCAGTGAGTGGGTATTTGAGGATGTTCATTGAGAAGAAACCAAAAAGAGTTAAAAAAAACTATTTCCAAAAATTAGAAAACAAGAACAGTTGAATTCTTGACATACGCAAGCAAGCTGTTATTACCAGTTTGATTTTTGAGAAACACGCTACGTTGAATAATACGTTACTTTACATAACTTATTATTATACACAACTTTGAATAACAACGTGTAAATTACTTTCGGGGAACTGTATTAACAATTATACCATGTACACATGGTTTAATTGTGATGGGAAAATAAAATACCGATTGATAAAATTGTCGTTATACAACATCAGTGAAAATTTTTCTCGCAAAGAATGCTGAATTTCGTGGATTATCAAATCTTGGTAGAAAATTCAATTGCATTACTCGGTTGTTTGTATTTTTACTGGCAGCATCAAATAATAAATCGGTCCGTCGTGACTTTATTTCATGTTTTGAAGAACGATAACACGTTGAAATATAATGCATTTACGAAATATGTACCAACTAACGTCTTGTGTAAAATATAATCTAAATGTGCCAAATATTCAAAGCGCTTATCAGTATTATGTTCTTTAGGAAGTAAAAGCAGAAGGTTTGCTAAATAAATGTCTGGATAAAGCTAAGTTAAAAATTTTATTATACAGAAGATATAAAGCTGGCGGAAGAACAAGAAAAATTGGTAAATCGAGTATTCTTTTATAACAGAAAACAAAACTGAATATCGTAACGAAAACAATCGATCGTAAACTTTAAACTTTCGAACGGAGCACCGCGGTTTTTCCTACATTGGTTAATATGTTGCGCCTTGGTCTCAGTTCTGAACTGAACCAACTAAGTTCGGGACCGAGTGTTTGGGTTCTGCAAATATACGTCAGTTAGTGACATTTAAATTAGGCTTTACTACTCACCACATTGTGTCAACCAGACACTACTCCTCGATGATTATTTGCTCTCGATTTATCAACTATTTTCTCCCGATGAGACTAGTTCGGAAACCGCTACGTTGGAATATGTTTGTGTCTACTCAACGTACGTCTCATCTTGAGCGAATAACAATCTTAATGTTACTGGTAGTTTACAGCTATATCGAATAATCTAAGATTGCTTGGTCTTGGTATTGCAACATGCACCAACAACTTGTTGACTCCAAAGAACGAATCATTAATGATGTATTTCAAAGTTGATTGAACGTGATGAATGCTATCGGAAAGTTGCACTTCTTATATATCTAATCGAAGCATCGTCTACTTGTCTCTCCCAACCTGTAAATTATGTACGCGGCTGTGTAATATTGACGTTAATCACATGGTACCTCTTTTTCCTTATATAGTAACTATTCATAGATTGTGCAGCATTGTTACCTTGCGCGAACAATGCCTAGCAACATTCTTGTAACACGGAACAACAATCCTTGTGGAACAGGAGAATTCTTGACAGTTACACAGAATTAAGGAGAGATATCTCATTAATATTAGTCCCCACATGCTATACTCATTACGGTTGAGCGCAAAGCGATCACGTACCGCATTCTGATCCATAGATAAGTAAGATTTATTATTGCATTTATTTGTATTCCATATGAAGCAGTACGCGAGCGATATTACGGTCTAGATGAAGACGATATATTGGTCAAAGATCTTAATGGTAGACGGAGCATGGTTTTAAATAGACTCAAGAAATGAATACAGGTAAAAGCATTTAAAATAGATGGTAATAACAGAATAAAAATAATGTTACTATGTGTATTTGTGTATTATCAAAGTATCGAATTAAATTTATGTACCCCAATTAAAACTTGTAGGAAACAACTGTTGTTTGTGTAGACTATATCGTTAAAGTTGTGAAAAGTTGAGTCCACTGAATTTAACTACTATGAGATTTTCAATACTTAAATTTTAACTCCATGTTGGAATTCTTTTAAACAAATTAAATAGTTTGTAATATATCAGCTTTTTTTGAACAGCTAATCCTGAAGTCGCCAAAACTTAGTTGGCGGCTAACGATTAAATTTAATTAATTAAAATTATTAAATTTTTGTTCATTCTAATATCAACTTCCTTTTTTTGAATTACAAAAGACAATAATATCTTACCAGAACATTTACCCATTTACATCACGTATCGAGTGTCGTTGCCTGTCACTCAGTTTATTTTTAACAAACACTGTTAGATCTGCTTTTCAAAAAGGAAGTACAGTAAAGAAAATTCTAAAATAAATATATACATTATACCTCGTTCATATTCCCATTTTGGGATGGCTAAGGTAAGATAAAAGTAAGGTAGCATAAACCAGTCATTCACTTTATTGGTTAATAAATTTGGTTATTTAAATTTTAATCTTGAGAAGGTCAAGCAACGTACACTTTTACACATATTTTAGAACCATGCTCTTTGCATTTGCTCAAATGCTGTCTGGTTTGCTAAAAGTAGCACGCTTATGACCTATCAAAATTTTTTTGTTAATTAGAATTAAAGTTTCGAGAAATGTGGCGATGATTAATAAACTTTGAGAATGTAAAAATAGAATAATCTAAAGTTTGTGCAAGACATGGTATGACTTGTATAACATTAACATAGTAAATAGACCTAAAATGGGCATATAATTGAGTAGGATATTAACAAATTTTTACGATATAGAAATTTGGGACGGCAAAAAATTGCGACCCAAATGAGGTAAATTATACAAATGGAGGCAATCGGTCCCACTTTACAGGTGGATATGTCTGAGTTGGCATATTGAAAAGAGATATTTTTCATAAAGTAAATTATGATAAGTGTAATGCGAAACTTGAACAGAGACAAAAAAGTCGAAGAACGAGAAACTTGGCATGTAATCGGTCAAAATAATAAATAAACAACATTACTAGACAAAGAAATGTATTAACGGAATAATAATAAATTTGAAAGACGAGTGCGGGATGTCATTAAACGCTATCAATATTCGTAAGGGTTAATATTTTACTTATAATGTTAATGTTTAAAAAAAATTAGTGATCAAGTCGAACCCGGTATTAAAAAATTGAAGAAAAGGATAAAGGTATTAGAGAACGAGTCGTGAACAGTGCTCGTACAGGGGAAAGCAAATTAAGTTGCCTAAACAAGCTCTTACTTAAATGACAAGCAAACTATAAACGTAGTCAAAATTAGCTGTTCCAATAGTAGTAGAGTCAGAGTCAGAGTTAGAGTTAAAGTTAAAGTTAAAGCAAATAAGACCGTTTTATACAATATTAAATTAGAAAGTAGGTTGTTTGTCGGATTCAGATTTGGACAAAATAATCAATAAAACAAATTACTACTGATAAAGCGTGGGGAGGGTGTGCGATCAGACATAGCTATATCTGCCATTGTATTAAGGGAATCGATTCTCTTTTCGAGAGTAAAAAAAAAACGACTACCACGAAAATAGATACTTATTTGGAAGCTTTGGGGGTAGCCATAAAACGCAAACCCAAGAAAGTCAGAGCTGACGGAAAGATTGAGAAATTTAACTCTCCAAGAGTTTGATCAACAAGTAAAAATAAAACGTAAAATTGAAGATTTTGTTATTATTGACAACACGATAAAGTTACAAAACGTTATTAACAGAATAGTATTTATATACTTTTTGATTATAGAACCAATTTTTATGTATTAAATATAAATTACGTTAAAATAGTCAATAAATACAAAGAACGGCTTGTGACAATGACACTGAATGGATTACAGTGATCTTATTATACGTTATTGAAAAGATGAAACGAAAAGATAATTATAGGTTTACCTGATCAATGGTCTTTAGATTTAGTTTACGTTCCTTTCAATTTCCGATTATCCTACGGGTACGAGTAAAATTAGACCAGGTCGTACATGAGCCACAACATTCCGCCTTTTCCCATCAGCCAAATTCTTGAATTCAGCCACATCCGCCATTTTTAGTTTAACAAACAACGGAAAACTTGCCTTACAAAAAGTATTGCTTATTGGTGCAGGAGAACAGCCGTCCCATACCGCCCTTGGTGAAAATTATTGACATGGAACATCTCATACTTTAATGGCTTGTAACGGTAATATTAATGAATTCTATTTTTGTAGCCTGTTTCTCGCCGAGGGCCGAGACTACTATGTTCACGAAGTAGAGTGTGTGCAGAGAAGGTTTCGAAAAATTGGTTTGCTGTCTTCCCGATTAGGTGAGTGATACAAGTGATATTCGTTTTACCCTTCCCGGATCTTTATAAGTATTGAGCCAAGTTAATTAATAAATGCACCTTCCTTGAAAGGGAATAAGGACCCATTGTGTTTAGAAAATTGCGAATTAGTTGGAGAATTCATTATACGTCGGTATACCCACATTTCTAAATAAAAACGATATATTTAACCATTCACCCTTATTACGACTATCTATTAAGAATTTGGAGGTGTCAAAACACAAACCAAGCCCAGATACACGCACGGTATTACAAATTACGTTATTTCTTACATACATTTAATGGAAATAATACTGCACACACAGCAGACCTTTTTGCCGGTTTTTAGAAATTAGATTCATTTGCAGAAGGTTTGACATTGATATGGAGAAACATACAGCAGGCACAGCAGACAGTACCGCCAGTACACACACCAGACGCCAGACACAGCACACACAGTACACACAGAGCACACACAGTACACACAGAGAGTACACACACCACACCCGCTCATACACATACAACACCATACACTCGCTCATACACAGACACACATCTTGCGCCAAGGATGATACACAGGGACTTCTCCTTTACGGTCCCGATTGGCTGTCTTTTCTCATTCTTGGATTGTCACACTTTGCCTTTTTCGCAGTCCCATATAAATTGGAACATATGGGTTAAAATGCGTATTTTATAAACACACAATAGGAAGCAAGTAATTTTAGGGTAGCACAATATTTATTTATACAAAGAAATGGGCAAATTGAAATATTAAATATTGCATTTACGCTTTTATTATTAGTATTACACTTGCTAACCAATGTCGTTACAAACAGTCTATCAAACCCCCTTCATTTATTGTTATCTATTGTCGACCATAGAGTATTGATTAAAAAATTTATTGTCCGTAAATTAAATTCGATGACGTATCATCCAAGTTTCTATTCACAGCCTCATCAAAATATAAAATGCCCATTCCTTCATCAAACATTAACATTTTTGTGTTTCAGATATCGTTGGAAAAGCAGTTTATAAGGGGGTAAGTATATGTTTGACTACCACATCCCCTCATTCGACTGGCCCTATTCTTTTCCCTCCACGACTCTCCTTTTTAAACCCATCTTTCCTGCACTTTTTCCTCCGCTCTCACACTCGTCCTCCCCCCCCTGTCTAACACATACTCTGTCCCTCTTTAACGTCTTTGCCGCTGTGGCCTATTCCGTATTTGTATAAAAACACATTATACAGTACTCCATAATATATCCCATAGTATATTCATTCTACATACATATACTACCCCACAGCCCAACTGTCTTAAAAAGAAGGAAACCCAACTCTGAGGAAAAGCATATACCACACGACCCAACTGCCACGAAAAAAAAAGACATATAACTCGCTCAGGGGACGAAAAAAATTTACCCTTCCACACTGTTCACCAATACCTGTCACACCAACACATTTTTATAACATACTCTCACAATATTACTATATCCCAGAGGCCTTTCATACACACCCACAACACTCTCACAACACAACACACACCAACACACACCAACACACACCAACACACACACGTTCTTGTCTCTCTCTTTCTCTCGACCTTTGTAGGCTTCCACTTAATATAGAACTTTTAATCAACTAATATTCGTCTTAGAACTAACTTTATCCGCGTAAATCTACAAACCGTAAATACATATTATGTCTCATTCAGTTAACACTAATAGCGTCTACACAGACGACCATACCAAGAATCATGAATATCACGACAACTGCACAGAAAGCCAGCAAACGTTGACATCGTCATCGTCAACTGTCCACACGCAACGACCAACACATACCTACACCACATATACGTATCCATATACGAAGCCTAACCGAGTGCCAAAGAGACCTTTGGAGGGTAATTATCTATGAAATTAAATCTAATTTGAACTATAGAAATATATATATATATATAACGGGTGTATCATAGAGAATAAAAACTGTACGCATTCACCGAGTGGGAACAGAGAGGGGGAGGCGGTTTGAGAGAAAAGAGAATATAGAGATATTCTATTTATCAAGACCGGTCAAAATATTCGACGTAATTATGAGATAACGATGAGACAAGATTTATGTCACGCGATGAGGAATTGATTGGTCATTGTTTAAAGAGTTTTTTGGTGAGAGAGGGAACTGTTGCGCGAAAGTATCCAGACCTTTGATCCAAAAGTTATGGCCCCCGCAAACAATTTCTATTATCTACTTGTAATCTTTAATAACACTAATTTTTCGTTTTACTTGAATCCCAAGCAGTTCAATCCGATTCTCTAAACATCGGCTCGATAATTAGCCGCATGGACTCGCTCTACAACACACAATTCTATTCCTGGATTAAAAATCCCCAGAACCGAGAGTATGCAGCACTCAGAGTTCGTCCATTAATTCAAGAATACAACAGCCTTTCTCACACAGCCCATGTTCTCCGATGGATTGCAAAAGACTGGAAGCCTAATGAAGCTAAAGATCTATTTCGTCTAGTCACTGAAACATGGGACGATGGCAAGCGAAGGCTGTTGATGTTTTATCTTGTAAGAGCAGAAAGAGAAGAAGAAGGATATTTGAAAAAGAGACGAAGGACAGGCAAAAGTGGCGAGAAAGAAAGTGATGGCAGAGAGCATTCGAGATATCAATGGAACGCGAGTCAAGTATGCGATGGAGTGGAAATCGGCGGTCATCGGACTTTGAGTGGTGCAATTAGCGTACCCAACACACCCACAGCAAATATAAGTATGAGTCATAATAATAATAATGAACGAAGACACGTTGCTGTTAGTTCTAGTTCTAGTTCTAGTAATTCCAGTTCCACGAGGAATGATATAGAATCTGCCAGTGTTCGCTTACGGCCGGTGGTCAGATCGGCAACATGGGACTCTACTTCTTCCACAGTTCTTCCATCAATAGCAACGTATTCGCATTCCTCTCGCGGATATTCTAATTTACAATTACCTCATCCCCAGTCTCCTTCTCATTCTCACCCATCAAACTATGTATCTCCACCCCCTTCTGCTACGCTTCCTCCTTTGAATCTTTCAGTATCTTCTGCCACTACACACAACACAAATCTTCAGCCACTTCAGCCGCCTCTCCAATCTACGCATCATTCTTACAATCTTCCCTATCTCTCTCATGTTCATACGTGTCAGTCCCACGATGCAGTCTTTCTTCGTCCTATCATAAACTCTGAACCTACTCGCATGGTGTATCCGTACTCACATGGTGACAGAACCGGAGTAGTAAGGAACGGGATTGTATATCAAGCATATCCGGGATATGTTAACAATTACACTCAAATTCAACACGAGAGAATAGGAGAGGAAAGCATGAAAGCAATGGGAGAGGAGAGGCGAAGGCGTCGAAGGAGAAATAGTGATGTTGAGAAGAGTGATGTTATGAGCGAGTGAGTGAAGGGGAAAAGGTTTCGGACAGTTTATTTGGGAACGTGCTTTTTTTTTTTTTTTTAATAATTAGCAGTTACAAAGATATGTACATGAGTGTAGATGTGAATAATAGATCAACTACAGTTGATTATATTGTATCGGATCGTGTCTGAATTATGATACCTGGATGAGTTGTTTATTTAAAGCTTGTTGTGGGACTGTGCTGTTCGGGTGAACACTACTTTGATCCATATTGAGAGATGATTTACGAGAATAGGCGGCAGTTTTATTAGGCCTTTCTTGTTATTATAATTTGTTTTATTCCAGTTCTTGATCGAATCAACAACATTAAAAAGTTGTTTGGTATACAACATTCAAATTACAAAAAAGGTTCCAGTCAGTTGATGTGATCATGTCATTGATTTCTCTCGTATTTACTCTCTTGCTGAATCTCGGTTTTTCGTCACTTCGTTGGTTTTCGCCCTGCCCTTTTCTTTTGTCTCTTGGGAATTTTTCACGAGTTGCCATTTTCACTTTCAACCAAAGTGGGGAAAGGCGACGATCAAACAGTCGATCCGGTCTACATATTTGGTCATCAACCTAAATGAGATTAGTTTGACCCCTTTAGCGAGAACATTAAGTAAAGCAAGGGACACATTAGATGCAGGAGTGTGTCATGGGCTAAATCACACTTAGTAGGCAATTATTGTTACTATTAACGTAAGATAACTATTTATAGGAGGTTGCATGTGTGTTTAGATAGGCGCTCTATTATGTGATGCCAAAACGCAATATATGGTGCAAGGCACTACCATACGAAATAAACAAATAAAGAGAACTCGTGATTAAAAATTCTGATTTATTAGAAAGCCAAAGATGCCGAGTATGGCGATTAATGGACAAGTTGAAAGAAACGCCGCAGTGATAAATAGGGCTGTTGTTGCTATTTACAAACTTTTGGTTGACTATCAAACACATGTGTTGCTCATGACCCACTAGCAAGAAATTTAGTTGTTCCTTTTTTCTTTTCTTTTTTTTTTTTATTTCGGAACGTCAAATTTTAGTAACTAATCTGTTATTGGTCAAAGTATAAAAACGTCAGTATAATAAGAACAAAGTTTTCTTCATTACCCCCCTCATTACTGTAATTGGATGTTTGGTCATGGTGGTCATGGTGGTCATGGCCAATCCGTCATATCTAAACATCTAATTTTAATTATAGTAATACGCAAAGTTACACGATAAAACTTTTTTATACCCATTTTTAGTGAAATACTGATGATAATTTCCGATGTTTCACTGTGTGCCAATATAAATTCTCATTTCATACTTTGTATGACGCATTAACGATAAATTTGAAAACAATATTACAACAAACTTGAGAAAGGGAGGGGGGCTGAGATGTACAAATAACATTTGTAAAAAGAATGACAAAGAATCGAGTAAACAAAAGATGTGATTTCACGAAACCGTATGTGTTAAAGTTTTTTGTGTTTGCTACGTCTTTAGAGATTGAACTTGTTTCCCTAAAATTCCCGTCTGTTACAATCATGTCTAGAATCAGGAGTATTTCTGTCCAAGCTACAAAAAACAACCTATCTGCAAGACAAAAGGTTTTCTCAAAATTAGACTAATACGTTGTCTACATATATTCCATAGTTCTTGTGTTACATACACACACATATACATGCGTACATACATAGTAAACATCCCCAGAGTACGTTTCGGCCGAGGGGGGAAGAGGTTGGAAAGATTGTTGGAATATCATCTAAATCATTCGATTAATTTAATAACATCATCACAAGTGTTGCGAATCTAAACCATTTTTACAAGCAAACATATCATGTCTGTCATATTACCGGACATTTGGAAGAGATCCTTGAAGGGAATGAAGATCAGTTTATGGTCGTACTGGACATATGACACTTGGTTCTTACAGATGTACGAACATATGTGGCTTAGTATCAAGGCTAAAAAAATCCCCCATCACCCATCACGGAACAAAGGGTAATCAGGCTATTTGGAATGAAACAGTATTTTCCAAAGCAAACAATAAACTCTTTTTCGTCTATTCAAAAAAATTCAAAGTGAGTGACACTGTCAAAAAAAAGGGGGGGGAGTGTTTCGACTGTAAATTTACTGCGTTAATGTCAAGCCCCACAGAACGTATACATTGACTTGCATTGACATGTAAGTCTTTATTATTCGTTATCATTATCTAATTAAAGCAATTTTAAAACGGATATTAATATGATAACATCGTTGCTATTTTTAATTTTGCTACTTAAGGGAAATATCTACTAATACGTTAATATCTCCAAGTTTCTTTATTAGTGATACATTTATAATTATCATATCTAATGACACTATTCAACCAGTTAAATAATTACTGTCAAGTCAAACGTCGATTGCCTACTCCTTTTGAATTTGAAATTATCTGCACCTCAAGCTCATAAATTACATTATACTAACCAAATAAATCGATTAACAATGCACAAGTTTTTAATGTTCCGAAAACAATATTAATGACTGTCATCTACTGTAAGCAAACCCTTGTTTAAAAAATAGAGAGATTCTGGTTCGTCAATCGAGAAATTTTTACCGTATTACAATATTTGAACATGTGAAGATCAGTTCAGAAAGCATTTTTGGCTTTAACAAACGTGACCTATGTAAAAAGGCGTATCTGCCGATCTATCAAGATAAAACTCCTGATGTATCAAAAATGAAACCCTTTACGCCTAAATTGAACCACATGATGTTATCATATCATATCGGGCTTGCAAAAATCTCTGATTGGTTTGTGAGATGTCAAAATTTTAACTCCGATCTCACCGAGAACAAACGTAGTAACACTTGTCGGCTAATGTAGGATAGGACAATCATTTACAGCATTATACGCCAGTATTGGTATTAGATTTTCTGGTTTTATGGTTTGTGTATGTTTTTTTTGTGTGTGTGGGGTCGGGGAGGGGGGCGAGGGGAAAAAAAAAAGTCTCAAGTTTTGTGTGAGTGAATGATTGACAGCCATCATATTTACGCCTGAGGCGGCATAATAATAATAATTGTCTGAAAAGTCAACCAATGATGCTTTAACGCAGGTTATCTCATTCCCACGTACAAGAACTTGTGCCCAATGCCATGGAAATAGCATTGATGGCGTATTCCGCAACAAGATTTGTAAGAGATTAGGTAATATAGATAAGATCCGTTACGTCACGCAACAGGTTCGACATAGCCCGTGGCGCTGTTATTATACCAGTCCAAACTCATACAAATATAGGGCGTATTGCAACAAAGCCAGACAAAGTAAACATGTGATGCTACTGGTATTTTTTTTTTGATCTATTAATGATATTACGCCATAATAATAACCCAAAGTGGTAAAAATCCTTTCCATTGAGCATATTACTGATTACCCCCCTTTTCAACAACAACGCCATGACATCAGATTCTGGACAAGCCTTCTTTTTCCGCCTGCTTTGATTTCAACGCTAAATTATAACAATCGGGGTTAATTAAAGCATTTCCCACATGTTCAGGGACTCGATCTTTAAATAGACGGTTTGTTAGATTGGCGGAAAAGATTTTGCAGGTCATACGTGGCCTTTTTCCCTCTTACATAAGAATCAAAAATGGATACTGCACTTTGAATATTAATTTTTGGAAAAAGCAAGTTTCCTAAGCAATTAATAATAAATCGTTTTATCACTCGTGCTAATTATTTTTATCTTTAACTGCGAAAAAAGTACTCGAATCAAGTTTTAACGAAACGATAACAAAAATAAATGGCAAATTATGGGGCATGCTGCTATACACCAGACAAAATGAACATGTGACTAAACTGCTAGCATGGCTGGTTTTAGTGTTAGTGGCACAGTTGTGGCACCTACCTAAATTCATGGATAAATTTTAACTGCAACTTGTTGGGATAATTGTCTATCAGCAATTATAATTATAACAGTAATGGTAATATAATTAATAGACTTATTACTATTTCCACCTGAAAAATATTAATACAAAGTTAATTTATATCAATTACAATCCACGGAATTGCACGATAGATATAGAAGCACTTTAAAAAAAGAACAAGGAGAAAAAATTGTGCCTTACTTTTTTAAATCAATGATACCAGGAATATATCGATAAAGAAAATTTTACTTATAAAATTTACCGGAAACAACGGAAAATATAAACAATGAACAACCTTAACCCTAACTTAGGATAAAACCAAAAACTTGTAAGAAAACAAATCTTCAGTCGTTAATTAACAGTACCCAGTAGTCACTGCGACATTTCACTGATCAACCACTAATGGTTTTTCATGTGTGAGTAAAGTTTACTGGTGTTAGTGTAAAAGTAAACTTGTTTGGCATAACTGTGAGCGTATAATTTACACGTACAAATTTTACCAATATTAATATTGTAACAATACTGAGCGATACGTGACCGTTTACGTTGAAGACAAAGATTTCGAAAAAATTAGCGAAATACTTTCGTTCTAATGCAACTTAAAAATGCCGATTGTAACCATGCCTTGTGTCCTCAAGTAAAACATTTCTAACATTTTGAAGTGCGTAAATATATTGTATTAGATTATTTGGTTCAAATAATAATTCGAAACGTAAAAATTTCTAAATTTGGATGTTATAATTAGATATCCAAAATTTTTTTCGACAATTAGACGCGTTTTGTTATTGCTTACAACTTTGCTTAATACGTGTTTTTGTTTACTAGCAAGTTGAATTAGTTTTATATAAAGTAACTGAACGTGATGAATTATTATTCAGTTGTTTAGCACGGAAATTTGTACTCCTTGTTTGATAAGACTGCTACTGAATTTAATACAATTCCCAAAAGAAAAGAATCATTGCTTCCAATGTGGACAGATTATTGGTGTTTGAAATATGGGTACAAGTTTAAGGAAGATTGCACGGATGCTTGATCATTCTTACTCAACAGTTCAAAAGTAATAAAAACTTATAAAGATTATAATTATGAATATGCTAAGCCTCCTCAAAAAG